CATAACATCAATAACAATAATACTAGTATCGATATCCATTGTATTACAAAGAAAAAAAAATTCTCGCCAATTCAAGGAATGGGGAAATCAGGATCGGTCACTAGGGCCTACTGATAGACTCCTTGTCGGCTGAGCACATGTGGAACCTTCCGTATGTAACAAAATTCACAAAAAAAATACAGGGCTAGCCTAGAAGGAAAAAGGGAGCAGTTCTGCATAAGCCTTCCCTGTGCTGGGGGGAGAAGTGCTGTCCCTCCCACACAATAAGCGAGGCGGGCTGTGGGTCCTGTTGGGCGGGTAAATGTTGTGGCTCAGGATGGGAACGAGAGTTACTCGTCCCACCTGCGCCCTGGCAGGCGCCAACCCAGCATGTGGCCTGTGTGGCAAAGCCAAAGGGAACCCCACAGGCAGACGTTTCGCCCCACAGCCTGCCGGCCCTCTTTATTTAGGGCTGCGTCGGCGGGGGTGGTAGAGGTGGTGTCCACTCGGAGTGACCTTAGGTGAGCTATCCGGGTAGGCACTTTGAACATCCAGCCCTTGCGGCAGGATGAGTGGTTACATTTGTTATTTAGGGAATTGGAGTGGTTGGGAGCTGTGGTGGCTACCCTCTTTGAGGTGAGAAGACCTGGCAGTGGCATGTTCAGTATGAGTGAGTACACCAACTACTGGTTTGGCTGTGGCAATAGTCATCATCTCGGTAGTTGGGTAACACCGGGGGATGAGTGGATTATGGCAGTGGCCATTTCTTGGTAAATGATCTTTGCCCTGCCTACCAAGCCCTGAGAAAGCTGAACTCTAAGCTCTCCTCACAGATGACTGCAGTCTGCTCAGTGGATGGACAGATCATCTCAGATCATGCTGGGGTTGGTGAACATTGAGCTGAGTAATTTGAGCAGCTATACTGGGTAGACCCTCCAACAGTTAGCTTGAATGTAAGTGGTATCACAATACCTGTGCTGAACCCACCCATCAGCGAGGAACCTCCTACCCTCAGTTTAGGATAGTGATTTCTAAGCTGAAGAGTAGGAAAGTCGCTGGCATATGTGATGTCCCTGCTGAACTGCTAAAGACTTGGGGTGAACCTATGGCATAAGGCTTGCATAAAGTCTTGACTGCCATTTGGCAGTCTGGTTCCATTCCCCCTTACCTGTTGAGGGGCATGGTTATCCCTCCCTGGAAGGGGAAAGGGGATCGTTGGGGCTAGCAACTACCGTACCATTACACTGCTCAGATTACCAGGCAAGGTTTTCGCCCACATCCTTCTGAAATGGGTCTACAACCACCTACTAAGGCACCAGAGATCAGAGCAGCCTAGATTCACTCCTGGCAAGTCCTCAATAGACTATATCCTAGCCAATATATGGGCACTTACCTTGTTTCCCCGTGGATGACCCTGCTCATAAGGTTGTATCTCTGCGACACAGTCTGGGGTGGAGGAGGCCCATGGGACGACCTAGGAGGTTATGGCTTGGGCAGCTCGACCAGACCTATCGCAAGGAGATAAAGATGGACCGAAGGCCTGCCTGGAGACTCACTATGAGGGATCCTCGTGGCTGGAAGCGAAGGGTGGATGCTGCCATTCATCCCCGTCGGCGTTAGCCCCTTGATGATGGTGATGATTATCATCATCATCGTTTTTATTATTGGTGTTCTTCTTCTTACTATTATTGTCATTATTATGTTTTTATCGTTTATTTATTCATTTTTTATTTTTATTTATAATCATAATCATCATCGTCCTTGTTATTATTACCAATATTTTTGTTATCATCATCATTATTATTATTATAATTACTACTACTTTTGCTATTATTACCGTTGTTATTATCATCATTATTATTATTTTTACTTTACTTTTATTATTATCGTTGTTGTTATTGTTATGATCATCATTGTTAATTTCATCATTGTCATTATCAATATTATTATCATTAGTAGTAGTATTACTATTAACATGGTCATTATCATTTTCATTATCATGATTTTTGTTATTATTATTATTATTATTATTATTGTCATAATTATTATTATTATTATTATTATTATTAATGTTATTATTATTATCATTAATATTATTTCTTATTATCAATAATATTATGATCATTGTTAACATTATCATTGTTAACATTACCATTACTATTATTGTTATTATCATTATCCTCATCATCGTTATTATCATAAAAATTACTTTAGCTAATATTCAGACTCATTGTTACTAGCACTTACTATTACCATCATAACCACTATTATCGTTGTAATTCAAGACATTATCAACCAGCATAAAGCACTAATCCATTTCCACTGCCGAAGCAGATAAGTGTTTCAGGGGGAGAACACGGAGTGCCGTTTACATGGCGGATACTGTCACCACGAGTGCAAGTCTGACGAAATGCCTCTGGCGGGTATCTGTGACCATGAGGGCTGCCTTTGCTGTGTTAGGGGTAAGTTAGCCTTCTGCATTTAGATTTAATTCCATATTGTGATTGCCTCAAGATCGCTAGAAGTTACTAACGTTATTGTTGTTATTTGTGTCTTCATCGTGTATGTTTTTTTTTTTTTTTGTTAGTATCATTATTATTACCTTTCTATTTATATTCTTATATGCACGCACTTAGTTATATATCTATACACACATATATCTATATCTCTCTATATACATATATATACACACAGACATGCACACACACATATATGTGTATATACATATATATATACACATATATTATATATGTGTATATAGATAGATAGATAGACACACACGTATATGTATGTGTGTGTATGTATATATAGGTATACATGTATGTATGTATGTATCTACTGTATATGTATATACTAATACATCCATCTATATATGTATATATATGTGTGCGTGTGTGTGTGTGTGTGTGTGTGTGTGTGTATGTGTATGTGTGTGTATTTGTGTAAATATATATATATATTATATATATATATATATATATATATATATATATATATATATATATATATATATATATATATATATATATATGTATTTATAGACAGATAGATAAACAGATAGTAGTTATATCAATATGTACTTATATACACGTACATATACATTCATCAATATTATTATCATTGGAATCATGTTATTATCATTTTCATTATCGTTATTATCATTGTTATTATTTTCGTCATTATTATCATTACCATTGTTGTTATTGTTATAATAATAATATTCATTATTATAATTGTATTGTTATTATTATCGTTTATTTATCATTAGCCTCTTTTTGGTCATAATCATCATTGTCATCGTCCTCTTCATAATTATCCTTGTTATTATTACCAATATTTTTGTTATCATCATCATTATTATTATTATAATTACTACTACTTTTGCTATTATTACCGTTGTTATTATCATCATTATTATTATTTTTACTTTACTTTTATTATTATCGTTGTTGTTATTGTTATGATCATCATTGTTAATTTCATTATTGTCATTATCAATATTATTATCATTAGTAGTAGTATTACTATTAACATGGTCATTATCATTTTCATTATCATGATTTTTGTTATTATTATTATCATTATTATTATTAATGTTATTATTATTATCATTAATGTTATTTCTTATTATCAATAATATGATAATTATCATTGTTAACATTACCATTACTATTATTGTTATTATCATTATCCTCATCATCGTTATTATCATAAAAATTACTTTAGCTAATATTCAGACTCATTGTTACTAGCACTTACTATTACCATCATAACCACTATTATCGTTGTAATTCAGACATTATCAACCAGCATAAAGCATTAATCCATTTCCACTGCCGAAGCAGATAAGTGTTCAGGGGAGAACACGGAGTGCCGTTTACATGGCGGATACTGTCACCACGAGTGCAAGTCTGACGAAATGCCTCTGACGGGTATCTGTGAGCATGAGGGCTGCCTTTGCTGTGTTAGGGGTAAGTTAGCCTTCTGCATTTAGAATTAATTCCATACTGTGATAGCCTCAAGATCGCTAGAAGTTACTAACGTTATTGTTGTTATTTGTGTCTTCATCGTGTATGTTTTTTTTTTTGTTTTTGTTTTTTTTTTGTTAGTATCATTATTATTACCTATCTATTTATATTCTTATATGCACGCACTTAGTTATATATCTATACACACATATATCTATATCTCTCTATATACATATATATACACACAGACACGCACACACACATATATGTGTATATGCATATATATATACACATATATTATACATGTGTATATAGATAGATAGATAGATAGACACACACGTATATATATGTGTGTGTATGTATATATAGGTATTCATGTATGTGTGTATGTATCTACTGTATATGTATATACTAATACATCCATCTATATATGTATATATATGTGTGCGTGTGTGTGTGTGTGTGTGTGTGTGTATGTGTATGTGTGTGTATTTGTGTAAATATATATATATATATATATGTGTTTATAGACAGATAGATAAACAGATAGTAGTTATATCAATATGTACTTATATACACATACATATACATTCATCATCAATATTATTATCATTGGAATCATGTTATTATCATTTTCATTATCGTTATTATCATTGTTATTATTTTCGTCATTATTATCATTACCAATGTTGTTATTGTTATAATAATAATATTCATTATTATAATTGTATTGTTATTATTATCGTTTATTTATCATTAGCCTCTTTTTGGTCATAATCATCATTGTCATCGTCCTCTTCATAATTATCCTTGTTATTATTACCACCACTGTTATCATCATCGTCATGATCATCGTCATCTTCATCCTCAACATCATTATTATCATCGTTATTATCATTACAATTCCTTTTGGTATCATTACCTTTAACATTATTATTATTATTATTATTAATATTATTATTATTATTATTATCGTTGTTAGTTATTATTATTATTATTAATATTATTATCATTATTATTACAAATCCTATTATCATTATTATTACATTTATT